CCAGGACAGACAATTGCACACAAACGAATATACACACATAGTGAATTTTTTTTACATATCTTAATTTTTCTTTTCAATTTTCTTAAGATTTAACTGTAATTTCACATTTCACCTACCCCTATAATCACAACGTCATGTCTATCATAATAGAATGTATTAATGTTGAGAATACTACTACTACTTCTACTACTACTACTACTACCACTACTACTACTTATACTACTACCATCACTACTACTTATACTACTACCTCTGTGTTTGAACACATGAAATATATAATTTAGTCTGGTTAAATTAGCTTTTTTTTATTTGTATGGTTACATATGAATCCATTGTTTGTGTATACGTCTACTTGTGGTGTATAAAAGCCTAAGGGAAAGGATGCTTCTTATAATGCTTGGCACAAATGTTTTTATGTGTACTTATGTAGTTAGATGTAGATGAGAAAGTTTATTGAGTAAACACCATTCACATCATTATTTACATCATTATTCATATCAGCATTTGATAAGGTTTTTACAATAGTCAAAATTATTATTGTAAACAGTGAATTAGATTGATTTACTACAAAATCCATTCATTCTTAAATTAATCACATAAATAATGAGGAGAAAGGAACAGAGTGTATATGTTTATACAATTTTATATTCCACAATGTTCATATGTGTCTGTGCACTTGTACTCAACATACAGATAATCAACAACAACAAAAATAATGAATGCGAATACGTACCAAGTATACGAAATCGAAGAAGATAGAGTGTTGGTAACAGTAGAGTAAATATTTTGACAAATCAAACTAATATAGAATTTAACCACTTATACACATACATATACACAATGGAAAACAACATGGATAGATAACAGTATAACAAAATCTTTTTTTTAAACATGAAATGACTACGAAAAAATGTTAAGATATAAATAAATAATACACTATAAAGTAGGTTTTTATCCTCATTTCACTGTAAGCATTATAAATGAGTGAAAACAGGATTAAAAATAATATAGAAGTAATTATGCAATATCACAACACTGGGGATACAGTATTATCTGAATAATAAACGAACGTGTAAATCAGAAGGGGGTTTTGTGGATATTTTAGTAATTTTGATAGTTGAGATTATGAATCAATTGAAGCTAGACCACTATGGAAAACCTGGAAGCACTGAACGGCCGTGTAAACGTGTAAATGTTCATCACATTTGAGTAATATGAAATATTTACGCGAATAACTGAAGCGGTTTACCATCTCACCACCTTCTTCGAAATAACTTGGGTTTCTCATTTATTCCTTTTTTCACGACAAACTGTTCTACTCCTAGTGAATATACTGCAAGGTTGATCAGCAAAATCCAGTTATCATTATCACAGTTTTCTTTAACCTTGTTTTCTCACTCTTTTGAATGTGTAGATTATTTTGAAAGAATTTTCCGGTGACCAAACATACCCGCAGTTGATGACATATTTCTGTATTTAGCTAATTATTGTTTTAGATTCACTTTTTAAACATCTTGAGATACATTTATAAAATGTTTGCTTTCTGCAACTGATGAAGCCTGTTTCACAAGAGTAGGTAAAATTATAAGTTTTCATGATTGTAGCTAAAGGTGGAAATCTATCCTTAACAAATTCATAAATGATAGAGCAGTGAATGGAAGCAGTATGATGCTTTGCTAAGTACAGAGTTTTCTCAGAGATTTGAAAAATTCGTTTATTGGAAAAGTTTTCAGTAGTATCTCCCTTAAATTAGGTAATTATTAGATGTTTCCTTTAGAATTGTCGATGGTCATTTGTTTGTAGTTCTACTGTTCAGTTTCTACTAGTGAATCTGGGTAGATGGACGTTTCTGATGCTCATTTTTCAGAGTTGTACTACCTAGTCGTCCATATTCCCGCATTTGTCTGATCCCCGTTGACAAAGAATGATTTAAAAATTTCTTTCGAAACAATGAAACACAGATTAGGATGTTCGTATACTGATCAATCCAGGATAATTTTCTGTATAAAAATCTCTGCAATGAGCGATGTGTCGTTTTTTCAATAAAGTATCAAGGAAAATAAATGTTGAATTCACTTTTGCTTTTAGTGTGCATTTAATTGACTGATCATAACCATTGCATTTATCCAGGATTATACTGAGGTCCACATTTTCGCTATAAACGATGAAAGCTGTCGATCATTGGTTGAAGCACTGTTTTCTCTGGACTGGCCATCAAGCAGTCAACTAAGAGGAAGTCCAGAAGCGAACCTGTTCCAACTCCACCAATTTGTTTACAGAAACCATTGAATAATCTGTATTGTATATTAAAAGTACATTGTAGAAGTAGAAATTCTAGATAATAGTTTGTAATATAAATATCACAGTTGTTCCTGTTAGACGGACATTTGTAAAGAGTAAAGGTAAATCCAGTAATATCATTTTCCTGTCAATTACATTGACATGAAACTAGTAAAGGTGAACGAATTTGGAAAGGCATTTCTGTTGATGTGAACTATGACCGATTGTAAAATTTCAGCTGTCCATTTAGCAATCAAATTGTAAGGACAACTGATTATATCCAGTTTAAGAGGGAAGGACATACTTCATATGAACTTCTGGGAGAAGGTTCAGTATTGGGATAACGGAACTATATGATCTAAAGCAGTCATAGAGATCACAGATGATGACGGGTAGATTCTTTTCAATATCTGTTCGGCTTTCTTGCTTGCATTCATTGTTTGATTTCATTAAAGAATTTACTTGCCCCTGATAACGTGGAGAATAATTTGGTAGTGTAGTGAACAATATCTTATACAGTTGACTAAGCACCAAATCATAACTACTCAATAGACTGAGTAACTGAAATGTATGTTCCGTTGATAGTAATCGCTCAGTTATTGGTCATTTGTTTTCACGTTGATAAAAGAAGTTGTTTTGAATCATTAAAAGTCCTTACTTGATACAAGGGTAAGGTCATTTTTCTGACGAATTAAGCTTACCATACGGATCTTAGCGTTGAGCTTACTTGCTTTTCTTGAAGTATCCCAAAATTTAGTGCTTAGTGATAGCCCTGATGGCTTAGTTATTAATAATGACAACAATTTCATTATTAATTCTTGTAGTCACTCGAATCCTGAGAACATTATCAATTTCTAATAGTCATATGTTATCATCATCTAAAATGACGGTAGGAACTATAACTTTTGCTGAAATTTCGAGAAACGTTTTGACACTGTGCTGTAATCGGTCGTATTTTATCCAATAAAAGGAAGATAGTATAACTTAGGACATGTTCTTTTCAAAGACATCGTTTGTATAGGCCTATTTATAGTTAATCATAAATTTGTTAGTCCATCATAACATGGAAAGACATTTTGTCGTTTAACAAAGTTTTTTAAATATCAAGATTAGAACATTAATTTGTATAGGACACTACATCTTTTCAACTAGTTGATAACTAAACAAAGACGATACAAACGATTATAAATTAATTCTTAGAAAGCAATTATCATGACTTTTTAAAAATTTAGATTACCAGACTAATTATTTGAACAAACTGTTTCTTTATAAGGTTAACTAATGATCAATTCTTATAAAGATTTCCATTTACCATTAGTGTAGCATTTGATTCTTTTGGGCACTTAGGACAAAATAATTAATGTTCTATTGTTTTCAGTTTCCTAATTGTGTTGATGATTTGATGGATCCACTGGTTAGTAGTATGTTTAATTGACGGTAATGCACAATGTTGATAACTTTTGTCAAACTTATCAAAATATTGAAATTCATAATAGTTATATCAATCATCTAAACCTGAGACCAAGACTAAAATTAAACGCGTAGAAGGTTATTCCAATCCCTGATAATTTATTTGCAGAATTTGAGTGAATTATTTGAACAATAAAAATACTCAGAATAATATTCAAATTATTTACAGACCCTTTATTATAATATAATAAAGCTAATAATTATGTAAAAGCTTCCCAGTTTGAATAAGTTGCATATGCCATACTCTATTCTTTTAATTTAGTATTAGTAACAGAATTTGTCCCATCCTTTTGAAATAACTTCATTTATCAAACACACGACATCTAGATACAAAAAATTTCATATTTATATGCGAATTTCTTACATTCCTTACATAAAAGATCTGAAGTCATTTATTGTGGTGAACTGTCGTGAATAATCTCAAGTAACTTTGTAAAGCGTAAAATAATGAATATATGTGATTAGATAATTAGACTTTAATGATCATATATGATCATATAAACTTCAGGAAATATATTATTTTACTAGATTAATACAATTCTTCCATTCTTCCACCATATTCATTATGATCTTAGGTTCTACTTATTTAAAATCTTGTTTCAGTGATATGGGAAAATTAATATTCTGATTGTAAAATAAAATCTTAGGATGAAAACGTCGTTGGACAAACATTTATCCTCACATAACAAAAATATGATTTACTCATGAAAGATCACCTAATACGAAAAGTTAATGACACAACATAAACAGTGTTCCCTAACTTAATTGTTTACCGTCAATGAGAAAACTCTCCGTATATTTCTTCTTTGAATCACATTATCTGTTGACAATAAAAAATAAAGGTATATATATGCTATATGTACTATTTCAAACAACTTACACTGAGAGTCACAAGAAGTAAATCACCAATTTGAACAATAAATAACACAAATTATTAAAACAGCTTTGACTTGCTAGTTAAATACTCATCACTGCATCATTAGTTATAATTATACTAGATCTCTATCTTATAACACTCTATGTTATCAGCATATGATATTGAGATGATAGCTTATATAGAATAAATAATTTAATGTAATGTCAAGTGGGATGCTTTGCAAACAGAAAAAAATTACTAGAATTTAAAGATTAACCATATATGATACTATACCGTTCATGCTTAATAAACTATCGATCCACTTGTAAATTTTGGATCACTTTTTTAGCTATTATCAACGAACTAATCGATAAGAAATAGAACACATTCAAATACAAATATTCTCTTTATTTATTATTTATTTTATTCATAGATAATCCTATACAAATATATATATCACAACTAAAAACTAATTATCTCTTGAATTTTAATTTCTTATTCAAAATTCTGTATTAGTAATGAAAAATGAATATGTAAAAGAGAAGAGAAGAAAGATAATGATGAAGAAGAGCAAGAATTGTGACTGATTGTCTGTATTTATCCACTTTCGTACAGGTTAAAATTCATAGTAAATAATCTCCAGAATAGTAATACTATTCATATTATTAACAATAATAATAATGATAATAGTAATTTTTTAGTGTCCAATATCGAATTCTATGTGATGTATTGTGCTGCTGATAAGGTAAATGATAATTATGTTATTGTTATTATCATTATTATTATTATTGTTGTTGCTATGTGATTTCTCTGTTTTTTTTATTGACAACAAAATCAAGAATGCTGTATTGTAATTTCTTTTTTGGGATCAAATTCAAACCATTTTTCTCAATTAATACAGAGAAAAATGGATGTTTTGTTTTGATTGGAAATTCTGTTCTTTCCATGTAATAATAATAATAATAATAATAAAAAGAAAGGTACATTAAAGAAAAAAGATGTACATTATAAGGTGAGAAAATGTCATATATATCACAATATTCATAAAAAAAGAGGGTCCATTGGAATATTACATCGTATTGTTCTGATTTTCTTTTTCTTTTTTGTCAAAAAAGAAATGAAAACAAGATTACCAAGGGTTGATTAAGCGTACAACTCATTTATGATTCTCAATACTTCCTTATTTAGTCATTCATAAAAATTTGATTGATAATAATAATATGGAAATGTAAAAGATTGAAATTGAAACCAAAATAAAATACAATAACATATATTCATCACAGAAGGCATAATTAAATTATTCATCAAGATAATGAACACAATCAAATGAAACTTATGCATGTATATATTTATATTGTATATATATATTCACAAAATTACAATGAAATGGAATAGTTCCGGTTACTGAAAGAAGAAAAAGAAACCAGAACAAACGATCGACTACATTTGGAATGGCGATTGATCTAAATCATAAAAACCAAGTGAGAATACTAAGAATTTTTTAGATGTCACAGTTAGAGAAGAGATAATCATATAACAGTCTTATATACCCCGATAATTCTTTACTAATATTAGACATATAATCTATTATTATAATTAATAATATTATTTGTTTTATAAATAGACCATGTAAAGCAAACTAACAGTGTTATTGAAAGTTTTAATAAGCTAAACACAGTTCATAAAACTTTGTTAAGATACCGAAATAAGTTAACATACAGGAAGCACTATCAATCACAATTATGTGCAATTTCCTTTTTTGCAAACGTTCCCAATACTTTTAAAGTATAATCATTTATTTTTCTAAAAAAAAGTGTTTAGTTAAACAGAATCCATTCAAACTAAGTAATATGGATAGTTATATATTGTTCTTTAATACCGTGTTGTTTTTCTTTGTATACTTTATTCAAGAAAGAAAAAAAAATTTCTTTTTAAAGGGAGGTGAAAAATAAGATTTAATTTTTTTAAAAAAAGGCAATCTTTTACATGTAATTAAAGAGAAGAACAAAATTTGAAGAAATAGTAAGTAGGGATATCAACAGAAATGAGTTTTTTAATAAAAAAAACACAACAAAATATTTTCCCCCCTCTAACTGAAGCTGCCTTACTACTTATAATATAACACACAATAGATAAATTGATTGAAATACAAAAGACAATAGTCATAATAATAGTAGTAACGCTAAAATTAAGAAAAAAAATAAACGATCATAAAAGTGAATAAGATTAATTGAAGATTATCTTAAAAAAATATAAGAAGAAGAAGAGAGACAAGGATAAAGAATGAAACATGTCATGCTGCAAAAAATGTCCAAGGAAATTCTAAATAAATAAACTAGAAACTAAACACTAATAGAACCTAATGACTAAATCACACACACACACACAAATTCATTCGTTTTTATTTTTTAGGTAAAGAGAAAACAATTTACCATGATTAATTAATTTGAATCCAATAAAAATTTGATTTTAAGTCTTGCTTCTATGACTATTGATTATCATTTAGTTATTTTTTGGTAAAAACAACAAAGAAAAGAAACGTTGTATATTCACAATTATGGATGTAATAAATTAAAACAAAATTAGAAAGAGGATTCAATAAATTATAGAGATGATGAGAAACATGCACAGCCTGTAATAGATTATAAATAGTTTATCAGTTAAGTTTGTTGTTTTTGCTTATTATTTTCTTTTTAAATTGACATTAAATTTTATTTTTGATCTGACATGAAAGAATTCACTGAACATGATGCTGGTGTATCAACATTATCTGAATTGATTTCATTTCGTTCATCAACTATTTGTAAAATAGGTTCATCATTTTCTGATTCTGAAAAATGTGTACCATTAATTTCAGATTTTGACATTTCTATACAATAACTAGAATCATATTCATTTGTTATAGGATTTGTTATAGGTGTAGTAGTAGGTGTTGTTGTCGTTACAATATCATGATTGTGTTTTTGCAGTTTCCCAGTTGAATTTAAACGAATTGAATTATTAGTTCTACTTTTAAGTCCTAATAGACTATCACATTCTTCTTGATCATTTGTACAACTTCTATGTGATTTTAAAGATTCTTGCATAGTTGGTGAATTTCTTAAGGGATGTTGTCGACTTCTTTGGTTATTAGCAACTCTTCTAGCTTGAACACATACATCTGTCATACATAAATTAATTGATCCAGTTTTTAATTGTGGATGTCTTTGACGTATGAATACTAAAGATAAACAAAAACGAAACATTCATCGTTAAGTTTTATCACTAATAAAATCGGCACTTGTAAACATTGCATACAGAAAAGATGAACAGAGACTAACGGCAGAATTCATGACGCACATTTCTCCTTAATACTGATAAAAATTCAGTGAAAATATAATTATTTATTTGAACACATAAATATTGGTACAAAGGGGCACCAGATATATATGCGCCACACAAATCTCATTTGATTTGTGTGAGAGCTGTGATACTACCCGGAAACTCAAAACTGAAGCAGGTGGTATTTTGAGGGGGCTACACCCGGATCCTTTGACATAAAGGTCTGATCCACAAGACAGTGGAGATCGTAAGGAGATGCGGTCCTATGGTAGTCGGTGACCAACAATTGATTCATATGCCATTTGTTTCCTCAAGAGACTGGAGCCCATGTGCACCATTGGTTTGGAATCGGAGTATTTCAACTCCCTAGGTGAACTTTCCGTGTCCACCAACCCAGTTAAAGCGCCGGACGTTCGCTTTTCGTCTTCTCAGTTTTGTGAACAACACCCCTGGTGCGAGAAGGCAGTGAGTAGAACTTCCCTGACAGAGGCTATATACGCGTGGCCATATGAGAGCATTTCGTGAGGGAGAGAAAATATGAACAGTGGGATAATTCAGATCACAAAAAATAAAGTTTTATTTTTTTGCAGTTTGAATATACACATTTTATCTAGACTGTACTTGATTATTCTCTTGTATTCGAACTCCTTCAAAAGTTAAAATAGCTGAGGCAACCTTGCACTTAATCAAACCTAAAAATATTGACACAAATTTACTTTACATTTCACGTATCCGAATTTCAAATACATTCAAGTATTTATTTGAATTTTTCTCAGTTTCATACAAACAAAGTTTGATGTTTCACTATTGAGTATTATCAATAAAGTACATATTAAAAGTAGGGATAATGACAAAACATCTTTAATTTGAAAAAACAAACACATCAAAAGTAAAATCAAACATTGAAATACATACATTAGATCTTTTCATAATTCTAACTTTACTACATAATATTTGTCAATAATAGTAACTATAGTATGAGATGAAAGTTTTCTATTACTCTTCAAATAAATAGACAATATCTCAATCATCTTCATTTCAACCCCTCATATCACAAATTTTATAATTTATCATTCTACTAAACGAAGTCATATAATATATTAAATAGGAATAATGAATCTGTAAAATCTCAGGGAATGAGTTTGAGGTAAATACAATGTTTCGCCTGACAGTCTGGTTCAAGCTGTTTCAAGGATATAATTAAACAAAATAGCTTAATTCATCACGACATGGAAAATATGAAATGCATGAAAGGACGAAAGAACAAAAAGGGGGGGATAACAATCATAGAACTACACTGAAAAACTGAATTTATTATTTGTATTTGTGTAATTTTGAAATGAAGAATTCTTAATTGGTTTTATTATCGTTTTACTTTTACTTTACAGGAAATGGAAGAAATTTAACGGATGTAAAGAATTCAGATGGAAATCTCATGTAATTTTAACAATTATTCAAATTGTGCGTGTTCTTTAATTTTGTAAATCTACTGTTCTATTATTGTTTATCATAATTTCTATGTTCACTTTTGTTTGTAAATAGAGAAGATAGAGAATAAATAGAGAAGATTGTATAAACAATTGTATATGTGTTAGAGAAAAGTAAGGTAAGATATTATGAAAGAGACTTCCGGAATGATAATTATTGAAAACACTAAGATTACATTATCAGAAGGGGTTTTGTGGATAATAATAATCATATGCTCACTAGTGACTGACTTCAAGAGGTACTTTCTGGAGTTCTAGTGAGAAGCAGTGACCAGGGGAGTTCAACCACGTCTGTTGTAAGATAGGAACTCACTGAAGACAATTGATGAACTGTTGATCAACTTCGTGGATTGGTATGAAAATACTAAGATTACAGTTAAAAATGAGATTTTTTAGGTTTATCCTGTATAATCACTATACAGATGTCTATAAGCTGTTAAGAATTTTTAGGAAACTTAATAAGAAGAAATGAATTTACTTAAGCGTGATTTGATCTGAACCTTTTTTAAGAGGAAATTTGAGCATTAACTATTAACATCTCGAATGTTTCAATCGTAATACAAAGGTGGGAAATCTCCATTTACATTAACAATACGAAGGTAAAATGAAACGGTCTTATGTTCTAGTGTTATTTAGTACAACTTGATGCGAAATTGTTGTAGTAACATGGAATATTAAGATAATTAGAAACATTAAAGTTATTAATTAAATTGAACACCAACTCATGTTTAAATAAAATTTAAAGGGTAGGAAGTATTACTTTTTCCATTATATGTCAATTTCAATAAGTGATATTTTAAGAAGAATCATATGATTGTTTTTATAGATTTAACCATCTTATAGAACGTAAAGTAATAAAAACTCTTCTTCTTAGCCACAAATTTCCATTATCTTAATATAGGTTGTTGTTGTTGTTAATAATTGATTGAGTTGGTGAAAAAAGTGCTGAATTTAACATACACTTCTTCAAACTACTTACAAGTACTGTATACTCTTGACTAGAAATTAAGGTCATGTTTTATTTTATGAGAACTGTGTTTAGTCTCGAAATAATTCATTAAATCAGTCGTTACAAACTGTGTCTAAGTAAATGTTAAAAGGTTAATAAAGATGGCAAACTTCAACTACAAAACGATCCATTTCATATTCCAAGAGTTAATTACTATGCATAGTGAAGAAAAAAATAGTTCTCAGGATTATAATTGTGAATGGCTTATTAGTCAACCTAGAATTGTATTCTCATTCCCCATAAATCGGATCAACCCTAACCTATAAAACAAGGATTTCAGAAAAAATACTTTAAAAACCGAATCAATAAAAAAATGCTACTACACTGAGAATTTCATAATATTCGTTTAGCGCATCATACATGCAAAATTCACAGCTGATTTCATTATTATTTTGTTTAACATAAGAAAGAATACTCTAATTTCAAAGTATAACTTCCAGAATGTTCGATTTTGTTTTTTGATTATCATTCTTCTTTTATTTCTTCCTTCAAATCGATGGGTGAGAATTAAATACCATCTGACGTATAAACTAATTGTTCAATGAAGCTGAAACTAAAAATATTATAGGTTATTCATCGTTTTAAAATAAAGAATTGGCGTTTGACTCATTAATTTATCCACGTGGTTAACTATATAATGATATACTTTATTAAATTAACCTATGTATAAGCCATCTGACGTCGACTAATGTCTCAATCTTAACATTTCTTTCTGTTCAGACAATTGATTTATCAGTACTAATATCGTAACTGGTAACTTATTATAATTCTAGTTGAATATTATTTGCTTTGTTCATCTGTTCATGCTTCATTCACTATATAAATATATCGCAAATGTAAAACCCATTAACTGCGAAACGCTAAATATCTATAAAATGTTTAACTATTGTCACTTTCATTTTTAAATTCAATCATCTAACGAGTTTTATATAGTTGAAGTCATGAGTGAATTGAAGCTAGACCACCATGGAAAGCCTGGAAGCACTGGACGGCAATTTTGTCCTATTGTGGGAATCCTCGTGAGATTCGAACCCAGGACCTCATCTTACGAGTTGTTTAGAAATTTTCTGCATCAGTCTATTAAAATATATATTAATTCAGCAAACAAAGTAGAGTGAAAATGATTTAGTTCCAAACTGCTTGTATATTTATTTCGAAACGGTGGTGTTTTACAACATACACACTAATTTCAGTTTTGTTAGATTATTGAAAAAAAATAAATCCTCGTGAATTTCATCACAGTTAGAACCATTAATCGGTAACAAATGAATATTTATGAAGAATACGTAGGTAAAATAATTTTCAGAATATTCATAGCTAATAAAAACTTTCAACAACTCAAAAGATGTTAGAATTAACAGCTATTAAACAATACCAACTGGATGAATAGTTGTTACATAATCATATGTCTAAAATTTGATTTATTAGTTGAATTTGAGTTAATTAAATATAGACCACTATGAAAGACATGGTAGAACTCCTCAGCAGTGCGAATCCAGAGCCGATAACCAACAGTGATCTAGATTTTATGTGACCGAAGATCCTGGGTTCGAATCCCGCGAACAAGATAGTGGTTGAGCACTGTTAAGGAGTCCCATACTAGAATGAAACTACCCTCCAATGTTTCCAGGTTTCCCATGGTCGTCTAAATTTAATCAACTCATGAGTTTAACTAATAAATTACTACAATCTTCATAAAAACCCCTTTCTGATAAAATTGACTTTTAAAAAAGTGAAATATAAGGTATTCAAGGATACCTAGGATATTAGCTATTTTATGTGGTATATTTTGTTACGTAACTCAGAGGAATGCAATAGTTCAGAACAAATACTTTTTAATCTGTAATTAGTTGCTTGTCAATCTAGTTTACTCATTGGAAAAGTAATATTATTTCATTAAGAATGGTTAAAGAAACTGTTTTTCTACTATAGTAATCAGCATTCTTTCAAATCTTCCATTGACATCAGTTACACTTGTCTATGTTGCCTTTCGAAATTATATGGTTGAAGTTCTAACTAAATGATATTAAATGATTTGCTCAATTAAATAAAACCATTGAATTAAAGTCAACTCCACCGTTTGTTACACTTGGGAAATCTTTACAACAAAGCAAATTTACTGTACTATATAATAGTTAATAAATATCGGACAAACCCAACAAAATGAAATCACCTTAAATATCTCCAATGTTTAAATGAGATTATTTTATATTGATTGTCATAATCATGATTATTGTAATTAAAATATTAAAAAAAACACTTTCAGATAATCAGAAGGAATTTTGTGGAGATTTCAGTATTTCCCTAGTTGAAAGCATGAATCAAATTGAAGCTAGACCACCAAGAAAAACCTAGAAGCACTGGACGGTCGTTTCATCGTTTCAGATAATCATTATTTCATTC